TGCATGTCGCATACATTCAAGCTCGTGAGTCAACACCACGCACTACAAGTTATTGCAGTGCTCCACAAGAGTTTCAGCTATATAAAGTGCACACCTATTCACGTCGGGTTAACTTATGCTTGATTCCTGGCATTCTCTCATGCATATGCAGAATCAGCCCATCAATGTTCACCGCAAGACAGGATGACGTGTCAGAAGGAGTCTGGCCGATTTCCTGCCTTGGGTCTCCATTTCTAGACTGTCGATTACGGCAGTGTTGCACGGAAAGGGCCCAACAGATCGTGAGACCCAACAAAGGGGCCTTACCTTTCCTTCGATGAAGGAATGGTTTATTACATAACCTAAACATGTGCCCGGGCGGGAGCCCTAAGCCCGGGGGTTCCTTTTATGTGTATATAGTTATTATTAATCCCTCTCTTCCTCTTAGAAAACCAAAGACCTTTAACACTCTTTGAGATTATTTTTGAATTTGAACCTTTACGTTCCGAGCCTTGTTAAACCCTCGTCACAGGCAGTGCCTAGGTCCGCGGGGACCCGGATATCTACCATGTGCTGCTGCTGTTAGATTGCACCTTGAAATCAAATACAGTATGCCGTTGCTGGACATGATTGGCGTCGATGCCTGCCAACGCTCCTTTTGCCTTGCATTTGCATTTCTAACCGGCGAGTCAGAACAAGACTTCTGTTGGGCGTTGGATAGGCTGAGGCCCCTTTATGAGACTCGCAAAGCTAGACTCCCGCCCGTGAGCCTAACAGACAGCTGTATTACGTGCACAAGTGCTGTCAAAGTTGTCTTTCCTGCGGCTCATTCACTCCTTTGTCCTTTGCACGCAAGCAAGGCTGTTCTTGACCACTGTAAGCCTGCCTTTGAAACTCCTTCTACCGAGGATACCACGTCATGACATAGCGGAGAGAGGTCGCAGAGATGAACAGCGCAGGCAAGCTTATTTAGGTAGCATCATATTACCGTAGCTAGTAAAAACGGCCTGCATCCCGCACAGAAGAATAGACGGCAGGACGCGGCAAACGCGTATTCATAAAAAACGGCAAGAGACTCGCACTAATAAGCAATACTGCATGGTGGGAGGCCTTGCCCCAGGGACCAAGGACCAAGCGACATGGATGGTGTCAATGCTTCCTGTTCCTGGTGCCCAAGTCACGTCAGACCCATCCCAACTTAATGCAGACCAAATAACCTGTCAATGCCTACCGGGGCGCAAGTGGCACCGGCGTGTCAAGGCCTCATGGAGAGTAGTCAATGTAGCTTTCTCCCTTGAGGAAAAAATCACCAATCGGGCTTCTGCCGGCAATAGTAGCGCCCGACTTTTCCCACCGCAGGACGATTTCCCCTCTGCCCGCGTGTCCAGTAAATCGGCCATTGTAATCTTCCGGGCGCCTGAGCGTAAATGTGACGGGTTCAAATTTAAAGCTACCAATGGGGAACTTGTCGTCGAGTTTACCCTTGACATTCCAGAAGGTGTTGCCGTGGATGCGCGCCTGCAACTTTTGCTCGGTGAAAAGTATCCATCCTTCGATTTCTTCGTACTTTCGCGGGTTCGATGCCGCCGGCCAATACGGCTGCTCGTGTGGTGGCGCAAGCTCGTTGGGGGCGGTGAAGACGTTGGTGACAGGACGGTTATCAGACTGCGTCGTCTCGTGCTCGGGGACCGGTACAGATATGATGGCTTGGTCGTGGCCGTATTTGTATGGTGCTCCGAGAACGGCCGTAGCAGAAGCTAAGACGGCGATGAAAATTTTTGCAAGCATGATGAGAAGTTTGATGGTATATATATTAAAGCAGATGGGTTGGTATGTGGACAGGTATTTGGCCAGTTGAGGTGTCCAGGCAATAGAAGGGACGTGAAGGAGAGTATGGATTTTTATAGTGAAGCAGCAGGCGCCAACCGCAGTTTTGTAGAATTCGACTGATAGGACGGTATGTCCTCTCTGCTGTGGCAGAGTATGAATAGAGGGTAACTGTGCGGAGGTATATAGAAAGGAAGGTTAACGCGACAAAGTAAAAAAATATCATCATTAGGTAGGGGCATGACATAATTGGAAGCAAAGGGAAGTCGACTGGGTATTTGGCCCAGAGCTGGCGTCATGAGAAATGCTAAAGTTGAAGGCAAAAGCTAAAAGATGTAAATAATGTAGACGTGTAATTTCGTCAGACGAAAAAGAACATTTGAAAGTTTGGGGGCCGTCCGGCCGGCGAATAACATCTCTGGTGGACATGTCTCGGTGAAGTTGAAAGCCGGATGCGGCGATTTGCTTACAAGCCTCGGAAAGTTACGTGCGCAAACAAAACATCGGGGTATATGGCTGAGGCTCCGGATCAAACGGCAGGATATCTTTTCGTGTAAACCTTGCAATTAGAGTTGCAAGCCACTGACGTGCACGGGGCGGTTTGACAGCCACGCGCGATAGATTGGTGAAATTGCCCGGTAAAACCGCAGGGTTGTGCCTAGAAGAGCGAAACGGAGGTGTACGCAGGGTAAAACACTGTCCAAGATTTGGATGTAGTCTGGTGATTCGCGTGAAGACGCCGCATAGATTCACTTGCGGGCTGGCATGAGTCCAGTGTCTACTGTGATACAATGCAGATCTCGGGGATCGAATGAGTACATCAATATAGAGGCAAACACGGCCTGTCGGCTTCTTGGGAAAAGCCTTGTTGTAATCTACCTCGTTAATAACCCCACGCGCATATACTTTGTAGTATCACTGGGTCATTGACTCACCCTTTTCGCTCGCGATTCAATCTTTCAACATACGATTCACACGTAATAGTTGGGCCGATAAGGTTCCGGAAGGCGTGAATGAAGATGTCACAGAGACTTATGATAAAAGCAGCATATCTGTTCTATTATATATTCTCTGTTTTCTCCTTGCACGCTCAACGGGGCCCATTTACTGCATCTAGTCGTTAACAAATAGCCATTCGCCGAGGATTTCTCCAGAAAACCTAATACTTAATTCAAAAAGCAACCACTAATTCAAGATAAATTCTCTAGAGATTAGTATACGCACAGCAATTTCGCCCAACTTAACCATGCCGTCCAGGTATGTAGAACCCTCGCCGACGAGGTTATATTTTGCCGAGGTTCTACTTTTCACATAGCTAACCAGTTTAGCAAAAAATGCGTCAATTGCAATCAAGACTTCGTTTATTTAGACAATCACGAAAAAAGATGCATCTTGTTTGAAAGTCGGCGGATAGAGGGCTCCGACGAGTATGGGTTAATCTGCCCCAATTGCAAAGGGAGCTTTCGGAGCTTATCCAACGTGCTCGGGCACTTGCGCTACTGCCTATGCTTCTGGTGCTATGCCCCCATGTGCCACAAGGCGAGAGGCGTTACTATGGATTGTTATTGTATCAAGGGCTTGAAAGCAGGCACCGCTGACAAGTGCGACTCGTGCAACGGGACGGGCAAAATGTTCAACCAGGCTCCGTGCCCCAACATGTACCATCATCATATTTTTGTAAGAGACTTACCCAAGGAGTCCTCCATCTCTATGCTAAAGTGTTGTTCAGTCTTTGATCTGAAAGCTGTTCGGACCTTGCACCCACAGGACGACGGGTAACCAAGCAAAGGGATTGCCCAAGGCGCGCAAGATGTATTCGGCGTTTCTACGAGCTCAAGTAGGCAGGGCTTGAGTAATCACCTGAGGGTGGTTAATAAAGGCGACTAAATGGTGTTGAATAGAATGGCCGCGCGTGAGCATGGCATGGGTTCATCTTGGTATGCATGTAGTCTCGTCTGATCTTTCGCTGGTGGCCGTATTTTGAACACATGTTTCTCCTGAAGGCAAGCTGCCGAATGCCACCTATGCAGTGCCTCTGCTATGAATTAGTCGAAATGCTGTTTGTACGGGGAGGTGTCACGATGCTCTTCTCTATGATGGTGAGGCACCGGTGACTGACATGTACTTTTCAGGCGCTATCCCCTTGCGCATTTCAGGCAACTATACCAAGTTGGGTATTTCCACAAATTCCAAGTTGATGCTTTATAGTACGACTAAAACAAGATCTAATTGAGATATACAGAGGGTTTGCTTTTAGACTGTGGTATGATGTGGGTTACAGCGGTATGCGCACAGCGCAGAATAGGCAACATTAATCTTGCCACGCGGTATATCAAGACCTCATTCCTCTCTCCATCTGATGCTTATGCAGCTAGCACAATCCCGTCATGCCACAAGTTCGAATGTCGTTTTCAACTGTAAAAGTAAATAGGCCATGTAAGCCGAGGTTAGGTTCAGGAGACCCATTTCGCGCTGTGCTTTTTCGCACAAACACTATGGTATAATGCCCGCCAACCATTCGGACCAATAGAGCTGCAACGTCTTTTTACAAAGACATGGAGGGAAAAAAGAAACATGTCTTTATCGAGAAGATGCAAAAAAATATACAACACCGGGTATTCGCTGGTCGTCACCGACCCAACTACTAATCCGGCGCTCGCCAGGTTATCGTACGAGATCGGACGGGATCGTGATTTTTACTGGCGGCTATGGTCGTATATACCAGGCAGTACGTATAATAGAATATCAAGTGATGACAGCCGCGGTCTTATGCAACTGCAACCAGACGTCTTCGGATTCACCGCCAAGTCTCTGTTAAACTCGACGCCGAAAGACGGGCAAGTTATGCAATCCCGAGCAAACATGCAGTTTTGGATCTGAAATCGATATCCAGGGTTAAAGTCCCGCAAAGACAGCCAGTAATTGCAGTCTGGTCAGACGTCCCCGGTCCATTCAACATGATCAAGTATGGCGTCATTCAGTATCGGGAGCTTGCGCCAGTGGTACATGCGACATGGTGTCTTTATTCTTGGGATCACTCTCATTCTAAACTCAATCTTGGATAGCGCCCAGTTGTCCGACACTACATAGCTTTACAAAATGCCAAACTACTCGACCCTGCAACCACAGCCAACAATGCTGCGTGTCGCTCCCCTACACAGCACACGAAAATCGCAACCCTATTCCCCAGTCATTTACGGCAGCAACGGGATGCTCTCGGGAGCTCGTCGCGTTGCTGCGCGTATAGCGTCGCTGGTTATTCGCCTCAGGAGCGGGTTCGACACTCGGTGGCCGAGGCGAGAGACGCGTGTAAGCGCCCTCGTGACTACTTGGGTGACTGTCCGCGGCATCGAGTAAGTAACCGTGGACACGGCGCCCTCGACACCCTCGGCGGTTCCCACGGCAGCGCCGATTCCAAGGCTGGCAGCGGTAGAGGCCAACAGGCCTTCGCCCGCGGCCGATGCGGCAAAGGCGCCAAGGCCGGCACCGGCGAGCGGAATGCCAATGGCGGCAATAGCCTTTAGGACGCTGGGAGAGGTGTCGTCTTGAGGGGCGCTCGGGGGCGCGCTGGGAGACGTCGACGGCGTCTTGTCGTTTTCCTTCTGCTGGCTGCCGGGGGCCTTTGCCGACTTGCCTATGGCGGCGAGTACCTTGGCGCAGAGCTCGTCTTTTTTGCCTAGCAACATGTGAGCATGAGTGGGCGGCTTCGACGCGGGCATGACGGATTCATCGGTAGTACGCACCTTGGGTTGCTCGGGCTTTGGGTGATGATGGCGGTCCAGGGAGGCATGCGCCAAAAGTAAGGCCCGCCTCGGCTATTTGCCTTAGAACGCCTAGAAGAGAGGGAAAGGTTTGCTGCAAAAGGCTGTATATAGGAGCATGCTCTTGTTGTAATGATGAGAGGCCATCATTCCGATCGAGATAGGCCACGAGCCTACGCTCGTCGACGCGAAAGTGTTGCCAGACTTGATTGAGAAAGTCTGGCCATTGCTGAACGCCGAGTTGCTCCTCCTGGTCCTGCTCCTGCTGAGGCTCCTGACCCGGCTGTTGTTGCTCCGGCTCTATAATACTAATGTTAGCACACCGTCGCATCTCTTGCACGGACATGGTAGAGGAGTCTTGTACCAGCTGGCAGCGCCGCCTCATCTTGACCTTGATCATCGAGGATGTCCCATGGAAAAGCCGAAAAGAACTCGTATACGCCGGCTGAAAAGCACAGGTCTCGGGAGGGGGCGTGATCCGAGCCCAACAAGTAATTAATGATTTCTTGTTCTTTAGCGGCTCCGACATCATCAAAAACGCCCAAAACGTTAGACACGTCTCGGTTACAGCGCTCGGTCGCGTCTTTGCTCTTTTTAGGCGGCGGCTCGTCCGAAGACGACTCCTGAGCCTGGTCTGAAGCAGACGGGCTGCAAATGGCTTGCTGTGCCTGAGCAACCACCTCAGGTACAGGCCGTTTCTGGGCTTTAGATTTCTCAATAACCGGTTTTAATTTCTTGGCGACGGCTTCTTGGCATCGCTGCTGGAGGCCGCTCGGTCCTGCCACGGGCTCCTCACTCTGGCTCGGATCGCACACGTTGACCAGCTGCCCCGCGACTTCTTCCCAGCGGGCCGGGTCGGGATCAGGCGTGAGTCCTTTGACAATCTCGGCCGATTTTCTCTCACAATCCCCTCGGGTGGAAGGGCCCGGATGGGCGGCCTGGTCGCCAGTTGGGGGAGGGCCAGGGTTTGGGTTGTCTGTGCTACCACAGAGCCGTGCTTCCTCAACGGCGTTCATAATTTCATCGATGTCGATCATGCGTTGTTGGTCCTCCGGGTTATTGTTGCGCAGTAGTCGACGTGTAGCTGCTGCGGCTGCCCGCTCGCAGCGTTCGCTATTCGAGACCCACTTCAGCCTGCCAATGTATTGATCTAATGCTTCATCAGACATGTCGTGGATGGCCTGTTGGCTTGGGGGGTGGCCATCAATGTCGGGAAGCCGAGAATACTGAGGTATCTGGTCTATGGGCCATCCCTCTTGCTGGTAAAACGAGCCATCCTCTGGCCCGTTTACTGTAGATGGCCCTGGACGTATTGCATAGAGGATCGGCGGGCGGCCAACCGGCACATTCCGCATCCGGTCGTGACTACTCGCCGGGTCTGCCCAAGCCCGTAGTGCTTGCCTCACCTCCTGGAAGCCTAGAGGCACAAATAATCTATTGCAGCTGTCGCGCAGACAGACGTTGATATAATCACTCAATTTGTCCGTTTTCTTGAACTGTTGTCTAGGAATCCCGCCAGAGCCATAGACCATGCCGCTTGGTTTTTTCGCAGACACGTGATAGACGTACGTTGCTGGTGGTAACGCAGCAACAATATTGCTTGCCCACAATACGTGCACGAGTAGGACTAGCCACTTGGTCCAGCGAAGAGAGGCCATTGTGATTCTTTGATATATATAGGTAGATGGGTAGATGGATAGATGGATCGGTATGTCGTGCAGGTTGTCTTGAGGTAAAGCTCTCCCTGCAGAGTGGTGCGAGCCTACGTGACCAATTTATACTGTCAAGTCAGGGCCACATGATAATAGACACGCCAAGTTTTACTATTTAATGCTTGATACTGTCTCAAGGACTAGCAAGACTAGCTAATATTTTTACATGGTGCCTTTATGCCATGGGCCCATGACCCATTCTATCACACACGAAACTATGCATCCCCCGGCAAGCATTGTCGGAGCATGAAATGATAGAGCAGGCACATGTACACCTTTTCCATCATCACACAGCAGAAACTGATAGATATATTAAGGTTTAAATTGTATCGCTCATTAGTCAAGTGAAATTACAAGCATGACACGAGCATCGTGCAAGCATAAAATCTGGCAACACAGTATTTGGCTCAACGATAGATGTATACGCTAAATTGTATACTAAAATTACGTAGTACGTACTAGGAGTGACGAGGAAAACTTAAGTCGTATTGTCATTCAACCGCAACATAACATTAAAGCTCTTGATTTAATGCAAGGACTGTTATCCTTCCTTTGGTCACCAGTTTCTTTGGCTCTTACCAATTACGCACCTTCTATACCATCGCCACCCGGAAGCAGGCCTCAAATAGTGCGACGAATTGCGCCCGCGATTATGCATAATTAAGCCTGTTATAGACCAGACTATAAGCGATTCAGGAGATGTTAAGGGAGCTAGCTATACCACCTTTGTTGAAAAGTACCTATCCATGGCTTAAGAAAATTTGGTCGAATGAAAAGGGACATTGAGGTACGATGTGGATAGGCCGATAGGCGACGCAATTCCTATGCGCATATCCTGGGGCATAATTAAGAGTGGCGATGTGGAGACATTGAAACCGCCTTGCGGGCATAACGTCATGAAAAGCAAGTGCATTGAGCAATGCGCCTCGTATTATGCTTGGCATCTACGGTTCAATAGAAACCCCTACTCAAGTTCAGCATATCGCGGAGCCAAATAATTTGGCTTGTAACAAAAAGCTAGAGGGGCCCAAGACTTGGAAACCTAAATATGTTGCTGAGTCATGCGTTACTCGGGTGGCTATGCGTTGCTTTTATAATTATGCGTTCCTGTTATGCGCATTACTACATGCAAGACAATATAAACTTTTATAAATTAAGGGCTGTATAAATAAGCGCCGTATACATAACAACTAGCTTGATTTAGTCAGGTGCTTTATAACCTAAAGTTTTGCGTTACTATTAGGCGCATTATCCTTATGCGTATTATCCTTATGCGCATTGTCCTTATACGCATTACTCTTTGTCGGTAGATACAAGTGGGACTGATTACTCGGTAAAAAGTTATAGAGCGTTTCTTATTGTCAATTATATGCAGTTAATACTATGCATAGCATGGGAGTAGCTGTATGCATGAGCGCTCTATGCATGACGATAAGCTTGATTTGGTTAGACAGTTGATTCATAGCATGGCGTCCCATAGTGTGCTGCATGGAATAAAGGCCAACATCTAGCAGACAATCGGCCAACTGATAACATGCTATGCCAGGTTAAAGCATTACATGTAAAGCATGGAAAGGCGGCTAGAGGTGTCCTTCATCGACTACAGCATCCCACCGCATGCCATGCTTATTCTTCGCTGCCGTATATAAAAAGGGGAGAGCATACCAGTCCTCCTCCTACAATAGCACCATTCCTTCGCGCTGCTCACCACCAACTATCTGTCTCTCACAAAATACCCACGTTATACACACTGCCTTAGGCGGCGTTATTATTCCAGAACAATGCGTCCTATTCTTTCCGCCGCTCTTTTTATCGTTGCCTGCAATGGCTATTTCCTTGGACCCGTGTTTAATACGCTAGGTCCAGGCCGTCAGGAGCAGCCTCGCATGGCTGTGAACCCCTCGGAACTTGAGCAATTCGCGAGGACAGAAAAGCGTGCCGAGTCGCACGTGATGAAAATTCCCAAAATTCCCAAAATTACCAGGATTCCACCGGAAGACTTCGAGGAAGCAGGAAAGATTCTAGCAAAGGCTCTGAAACATGACGGTCAAATAAAGAGATACCGTAACCTTCTTGATCCACTACTCGCCGCCGCGTCCAACGCTACAAAATGCTATGAAAAGTACAAGAGTAGCAGCGATGACGTCATTGGAGTTTGCGATGACGAATTCTTGAAAGTAGTAGACCTGCAAAATCGACTCCTGTCGCTAGCTTCGATGCCTGGTTTTCCAACCTCATTGCTCTTCTCGGAGAAACTACCAGACGTGACCGATTACCGCGAGAGCCTCCAAGGCAACGCAACCAAGGGCTTCCAAGAGGCTCTTGATGGCCTTACTAAAGTCTTTGTCGAAGCGGAGAAATTTCAACCCATTGCAGAGCAACTACACCGCTATCATGAGCACCTGAAGAGCCTTAGAAAAGCTATATCCGATGCTGAAGATTGCTACGAGGCGTTTATGACTAAAATTGAAACAGAGGGATTTGAATCGCCGGAAGCCACCTCGGAGGTTTTGAAGCCCTGCACCGACCAATATGCAATAGTCAAGGACAGACAACATGAGCTTGAGGAATTCCAAAACGGCACGTTGAAGGTCTCTGGAGGGAAAGTCTTCGCAGACCTCGAGCTGGCCAACCTACCGGTATTGGAGGAGAAAACCGCAGACCTGGAAAAGGACAGGGCTAGAGCGGCCGCCTTGCTAAAGGAGGACGCGGACGAGGTGCGGCAGCTCAATGCGACCATCTTTGACGAGGTCAATCTGGCCTTCAATAACCTGACTGCTGAGACGGTACGCAACTTGCAAAAATATGTGTTACTTTCTGAGGCCAAAGCTGGCAAGTCGGCCAAGTCTGCTATCGAAGCTGCAAAGAAGTGGTCGGAGCAGTTTTTGGCCGAGCTATCAGCCATGCCTGAGGCGAGGATTCGTGACATTGTTATGGATATAATGGCTTACACGATGCTTGCGGAACCAATTGCTAAGTAGATAGATCCTTGGATTGAAGCATTTACAGGGGCTTTCGACGATACCGATAGATAGCAGCCTTTTTCCATTCAAAGTGGCCTTTGGCGTTCACAGTGTCTGAAATGACTACCTACTAGTGCTTGTTAGATAGAATGTCAGATATCAGGACCTACTACTACTGAACCAATGCCCCGTCCAAATCGTGATGATGGTCAGAGTTTCCCCCAGGCCACTTTTCCTTTTCCCTGCAGCGGGAAGGAGTTTGAGAACAACAGCTCCGCGAGATTGTAGTGAATATTCGGAACCCGCTGGCTGTATCAAGCCTACTGATGGCGATTAGGGAGTCGCTACGCATTTCGACTTCAAACAGTAGAGCGTTAGTGATGTCACTTTATGGCGTCCAAGTATCTTCAAAGGCTTACAAACGACGCTCCAAAGAGAACTTTATTTGTACGTGACACAATCCAAAGGTGTAACAAGGGCTTAGTTATAAAGGCTTGGAAGAATGGTTTTGTTTATGCGAATAACTTGAAATTTCGCAGTTGGATCGAGTAGCGTCTGCATCTCTTGAGCCTGTGGATATGGAGGACTCGACTTGATAGTCGTAGATGCCATGTTCTTATTGGTCATGCCTTCGTAAACACAGCACTTTCTGTCTCTCACCGCGCTTGTCTCCTGAGTGCATATATTAGGAAACGCTCGGCTGGTATAGCTGCCAACAGATATCGCGGGTGAATTGAAAGAGACTGGGACCCCTTTTGTCGAAATTCGAACGACGTGAGAGAGCATACGTGAATACCATTTGTGCCCAGCGTTACATTAGGACAAAGTAGATGCTCTCCGGTATTTGCCGGCTAGAGTCTCGCATGGAGAAGGATGCGATCCGTAATCGAATGGCCATGGTGTTCCTCGACTTGGAGCTCAAGAGGATTTATCTAGAAAGGAAACTTGCGCAAGCCAGGGTGAAGATGAGAGTTGAGGGCGGATACATTAGATGTTTGATCGACAAGGTGCTTGGGAACACACGCGTTGGGTGGCACATGGCTGGCAATCGCGCGAGAGCCGCGATACGAGCACACTTCTACAACCAACAACGGTACGGAAAGCGGTGGTGGACTCTCGTAAATGGGCTTGGATATGATATCTTATTTCTGTGCTTATCAAGACGTGTGGGCATCATGTATGGCCTCTACCTAAAACTTGGCAGAGTGATAGCCTTGCTAACCCCGAATTACCGCAGAAATACCAGCAGATAGTCGGCTCTGAAAAACTTTGCGCAATGAAGCATGAGGCTCAAATGATCAGAGTCGGACTTGATGGATATTCTGTCAGCGCCTTGCAGCTGAGATGTCATGACAGATATAAAGCGGTTGATTCGTCCGTTCGTAAGTCCTTCTGCAATTCATGGTCTGGTACGACAAATCTCGGCCCCTTCTAATTCCGGCTATACAATTCAAATTACGCGAGATCGCCAGAATACCACGACATATACTCTGGGTTTCTTCCCTACTCACCAGTCTCGCACCCAGTCACCTAGGCAGTTACACAGGTAGTGCGTGGTAACACAGTCAGCAGTCTGCGAAACGTTTTAACCACGAAACTCAAGTATCGCGGTCGACACTCTGTTTATTCAGCAGCAACCCTCACCATACATGACAACAATGTCGGCAAAAAGTCTCACAGGCTCTCAAGTAACTTATTCCAACGAGCAGCCGGCTAGGCAATCAGACAATGCCCAGGTCGAGGATACTAGGGCCACGCAAACTTGGACGCAAAGCGGCTACCCGATAGTTGACGGCAAATACCTGGACGGAAATGGCGTCACTCAGAGCATAGGGGATGAGTGGACAATGCAAGGCCCCCCGTCATCGATGTATACTGGCACAACCGGAGACGCAGCAGGAAAGGGACACGGGCGTATTTTGGCTCTATTGGGGCAAACGCATTTGTTGATTTGACAGAATATCTAAGCCGAGTTGGAGAGTTTCTGAGAGCACAGGGGCACGTGTGCCAGGTTATGTCGTTGAACGCGACGCCATATTCGGTCAATGTAATTGTAGCCACAGAGCTGTCAACAGATGAAATGGGTGACCTCTTGCGGGACTATCGTCTTGCGCCGGCTAACTAGGCAGGAAAGCTAACTTGATATGTATAAATGTCTGGTTTATTTGCAAATGCCAAAAGCCTTTTATTAATAACGCCTTTCTCACAGCTCGGGGAAGAGTCAAACTGCCGTCAACGAAAATGATGATGCGCAGATGCCGGTCATGGATGTTGAATGTATTTAGTTAATGGACCTTGGCAAACACTAGGTGAGTAAAGAAACATGTTTACTCAAAAGCCGCACTGGTTCTGTCACGCATATTACGACTCTTGTGACAGTCTAACCCCTGTAATGATAATGGTTTTCCTGGAAACAGGCTACCATCTACTAACCGGTGTCGGTATGCTTGGTCGCTACCATACTTGGGTGGGATAAGCTTAAGGTTACTATATTATTCACTACATAAAAGCCCTTCTAAGAGAATATATATCTCAAGTGTCTAAGCTTTAGTAATAACACCAACCCCAGAATTATTATCCCCGATAGACTCAGTCTTGGGCTCGCGCATGTCAGTAGTACCCTCATTCAAGGTCTTCTTAAGATTGATATTGTCCTTATTTGGCTAGCGGTTAAAGCATCCCAGGACTCAGATGACCGAAAGAATATCCCGGGTCTTCGATCGTGTCTTGTATAGCTTAGCCGCTCGCCTGCAGTGCCCGTGGCCATGGAAAGACAACATCAATGCATTCGCACTTGCGGAAGAAGCACATGCCGAGCAGCCAGCTGCTCACGCGGAGGCGCGGCGTGTCATCGACGAGGGATGCGTCGAGGTCCACGCCGAGCGAGACATGGCGGTCAAGGTCGTTGGCGTCGTGTGTCTCGGAGCCTGGATGCCGCGGCCATGCCGAGGTGAAGACAAACTTTGGCCGCCGACACCGGTCGTCCTCTCGAGGCAATACGAAAACGGCACGGTGCGGCTGGTACTTATTATTGGGATCCCGGATGCAGCCAAGAATCAGCTTTTGGCCGGCCTTGATGGCGGCCACGACCTGGGAGGCCATGCCGTGGAGATGGATGTCAGCAAAGGAGCCGTAGCCCTCGCCAGCATCGGCGTCGACATCAAGATGCCGGGTAAGATGGTCGGCAAGAGTGATATGGCCCTGGTCGCAGAGGTAGTCAATTAGGTCCAGGAGGAGATTTCTCCTTTCCTTCTTATTACTCCTATAGCGCCTGGATCTGTCAACCGAGAAGACATCTGCCGTGTCAATGACGCGCCCGAGTTTCCACAAATGACCCTTTGCTGAAATACCGTCCGCCGTCAACTCCACGCCGCTCAATCGGCAGCCCTTATAAAATGTCAGATACCGGGGTTCGTCCTCGGGAGCACTAAATCCATCAAACAGATACTCTTGGAGGAAGCTTGATGCCGTTAGGCCCGCCACCGGCCTCAGGGTGTCGCTGTTGTTGTCGAGGATCTCGCCATTCAAGAGACACATGGCCAGCACCGACAGACTTAGACTGCGGCCTTGCCCTCTAAGAACGTCGCCATCTAGCCGGAGCGAGTATTGACAGCAGTTGGCGACGATACCGAGCCGGTCCCACGGCTTCGATAACCCGCGTGCCTCGATATCGGCAATCACTCTGGGCGTCATTACGCTCGACTTGGACAGCAAGACGGTATACCTCCCAGCGGCCCGGAGCACTTCGTCGATCCGGCCGCCGTCACCCGGCAAGAGGACTCCTGAGCTCCTCGCCGCCCTGCACAGTATCGTCGCCTGCGTGGAGAAATCGACCGACGACACGCACAACTCGCCCGGTATCGTGCCAAACCCCCCGCAACGCCGCTTCAACTTCTCCAGCTGCGGACCATGGCGGATCAGCAGCGTCATTCGCTCCGTGGCGCGATAGTTCTCCTGGAACGTCCAGGCGCGTCCCCACCAGTCGTCCTTGGTCATCTCATGGAGCAGCCGCAAGGCCTTGCTTGTCCTGTGCGACGGCCCCTGGAGGCGATTATTTCGTACAAGCTTCCCCGAGAGTATGTGATCCAGGAGGCGCAGCTCGGATACGGTCCGAATGGGACGGCCCAGTATGGCAACGGGATGCTCGCTCCAGCGGTAGACGAGGTCCATGGCCTGCAGGGCATCACGCTTCTGGGCGCAGCGAGCGTGGCGAGTGCACGCTGCATCGCACGCGTCTTGGGGGATGCAGTGGGCATCGATCCATAGAAACTGGACCTTGTTGTGACGCATGTAGCCGAGGACTCGGTCAAAGACGCAGTTGCGGACTTTTGAAGGCGCAAAACCGTCGCCGCCCCAGCCTTTGACCCAATACTGCCCGGACTCGGCGTCTTCGTTTTCTGAAGGCTGCCAAGTGTAGGACAGCGCGACGTACCGCCGGTATTCAACTGCGTCGATGGACTTGCGGTGTAGTTGTGTGCCTTTGGGCGTGAGGCACTGAAACTGGCTCATGAAGCGGCGTAACTTGTCGTGATCTTGTTGATTGCGCTCGCTGCCTATATCAACGAGCTGTGAGATGATGGATGCCTCGCAATTTAGGGCAAGTTGGTGAAGAGACTGGTTCTTATCGTCGTCGTCGTCGTGATCTATTGTGCCGCTTTGGGGAATGGACGTCATCCTCAGCGTGGCGGCTTTGGGAGGTCTGGACGTGGAGGAGGGCTCGCCCGCAGGCTGCAGTCAGATTTTGACGGCAAGCCATGTATAGATGAAATACGGTTGTGTTACACGTAGCATCAGCCGCGACACAGCCACTTGCTGAGTCAAGTACCCTGCGGTTGTAACTTGAGGCTTTGGAGTCAAGGCTGAGGGTGCTCAACTGTCATCATCTGTGTGACTCGCGCTCGATAAACCAACTGTTGTCTGCGTGGTTCAAGATGAACCTACTTCACCACACAGCTAGCCGTCACTTGTTGCCCTCGTTGGCACTACACAAAAAGCCATGTACGTATAAGCGAACCTTGTCAGAGTATCGCAGGGCGTAAGCCTCGGGCGCAACAAGGTACTCGTGCCTCGTGAGATATGTGACGACATGACGTGATTGGCTTGTCAGCATGCGGCATGTAACAGAAGGATCTGGCGGCATGAGGAGGAATGTCTACTTAATAGTCCGAGGGCCCTCAGCTGTACCGATACACATATTCAATGTTTCTTTACATCATCTTTACAACGCTCGAGACAGCCTAGAGTCAACCAAGGCCGGGGGTTGAGATGAGGAGGCTGTACTTGAAGTGTACAATAGTCTGCATCGCGACATAAATTGCAAACTCTATCCTTACCTTCACATCATTTTGCAATAAACTACTCATCTCTTTCGCCTCGTACGTCTTTGCGTCTCTTCAAATCCGAGAATGGGCGAGAATCTCATAGAATACGGGCGAAGTCAGCTGGTCACCATCGTGGCCTGTACCGCTATTGCTGTGTGTATGGCAGTTTTGCGCTTCTGGTGCAAAATTACTCTCAAGATCGGTCTTCAAGCCGACGATTGGTGGATGCTAATAGCATTGCTTACGTACCTTGGGGCTCAATCGCTTTTGCTATGGGGTCAACGAGGTTTGGAGAAATACCACGGTGGCAGTAACATCGCACATCACTAATCCGTGTTCCAGGCTTCTCGGATGGCAGCTTTGGCAGGGAGTTGAATGAAATAATGGCCGATCCGACACAGCTCCCATCTCCCCAAGCCAGTCAGCATCTCCAGAACTACTCAAAGGTACCGTCGACGTAATCCGGGCATGCTCCTACCGTGACAAACACTGCTGATACCATGCCGTGGTCTTAGTCCTTATTTATTGGATTCACGCTCAGCTGCTTTCTTCTCTTTGCCATCAAGATGTCCATTTGCTCCTTTACCAACGTGTCTTTTCTATAACGAGGTTACGCTGGGCCGGCTGGGGGCTCATTGGCGTCTCGACGGCATGGTTCATCACCATCCAAGTCGGACAGTTCTGCGCGTGCAACCCGATCCAGGCGTTCTGGGTGAGGCCTCTTCCTGGACAACCAATCACAGCACACTGCTTCAACTTTAACACCTTTTTTTTCGTCGAGGCTGTTATCGACATCATCATCGATTGCGCCATACTCATTTTGCCACTCCGAGCAATCCACGGGCTTGTAATAACCGCCAGGACCAAAGTACTCTTGTACTCTATTTTTCTTTTAGGTGGCTTGTGAGTTAAAATGCAACGTAAAACGGATGCTTGTATAAACTAACCCGCAATAAAGCGCAATAATCACCAATATTCTCCGGGTATATTACACATATGTTCCCAGAGGCTATTACGGCACGTGTATATGTATACCCTCGGTAAACCAGTCCCTTTAGTATCAACTAACCGGACATACAGTTCACTTAAATGACGTCGAACTATGGACTCAGATCCACATTGCAACATCAGTCACTTGCGCGTGCTTGCCAATATTTAGCCCTCTAAGAAAGAGTTGGGGCAATTTTATGAGGACCATGCGTTCATATTACGAATTATACTTGCAATCCTGGCCATTTACGACGAGTGCAAAGGTCACTGGTGTTTTGTCTCAAAGCAAACATGTTGCAACGCCGCTAGACGGTATGAGCCAGTCTCCCAATAAGCAGATTTTACCGTTTTCACACGACGTATATTGGGACCCAAGGTTTCCATCTAAGACAGCAAGCCGAGAATTGAGGCAACCAACCGGGCTTATGGTGAATGTAATAGGGGCTGAACCGAGTCAAGCTTCGATAGACCACGAGCCGTTTCCATCACATGGCATCACCTGCACGAGGGAGTTTTACGTTGCCTAGACCGTTGGTTGGATCTCTAACGCCTACAGTTATTGGAGGAAAGGACCGCCTGAGCCTGGGAAGCGGCGTGGCGGGATATGATGGAATAGTGTCAGTGGTAGAGCTAGCTGGAATGCTGTTACCTCAATTGACATTGTGTCGTTTAGGTTTCATTGACATTAGGCTCATGTATTTATTATTCAACTATTCCGGCACCCTAGAACACCATGACGGGATACAAAAGTGACACGTTTTGGTCAATAAAAGAAAAAATGGTAATAATTTACAAACCCTGATGAATTAAAGAAATTCATCTTATACTTCTTGACCGAGGGATTCAGTCAAGTTCTCTAATCTCATGATCATATGATGCCATAATGCAAGGGAAAATACGTCCCCTATTTCGACATCATCTGCCCAGGGGCAAGGGGCATGATTCCTTTGAAGAAGCTGTAGTGAATTATTCGCCACAGTAGGTCAGCTGCTAATCATAAGTAACTTGTCCCTAGGGCGCTTCAGGGTGCAATTTTATTCACGGATGTTTCCGCTTTGGAAATGATCCTTGAAATACTTTGTGCACACTCTTTAACAGCAGCGGTCGGGCGGATGTCAAGGACTTCATGTCCCTCCTTGAGGTACGTCCGTCTCCGTAGGTTTTGATCCGAATATATATCACTAACGAATGCTGAATTGACGAATGTATCACAGCCCCCCTATGTCTCGCGACACGCGACACGGGGTGACAAGGACAGCACCCAAGACGCCATCGAATGGGCCTTGGGCGATCAAGTGCGCTTTGAGGAACTTCTAGGCTTTGACACTAAATTTCGAGTTATTAGGCATAAAGTAAACGAAGAACTCATCGGTATTTGTAGCTCGACACCATATCAGCAGGAATAAAGCCCTCGGCGAATTCGAATGCATGGTGGCTCCCTAGCTCGCGTCTGCGGTTTTCTCTCACTACTTCATAAGCGCAAGCCAGAACCCTAGGAACGCACAGGTCAATGTACATGCTATTCAAGTAGTGCCACCAACTGTTCTCGTATGCTGATTAAGCTGGGGGCCAAAGATGCTGCCGCTTCAGGTCAACGGTATGGCAGTCAAGCAGCTACTTGTTACCTTACCCTTACGTCAGATGCTAGTGTGAGTGGGCTCCGGAGCTGATAAGCATCATGTCGGCCGGCATATAGGGCGGTCCCGGTCTTAACACACTTGACATGATGAGGACTTTTTGTGTGACAGGTCACATTGATGCTAGCGTTTTGTTTTCTCGCGCCCGCAAGTCGTTGCCTTGTGGTTGGAAATATTCCCATTCAGCTAGAGGGCAAGAATTGTAGACGCCTGCGAGATTATTCCCGTAGCGTTTTAAAACATTATTGTATGTACGTAGCCCCAGCCCCCAGCTTACACTTGCGCCAGTCGCGAGGATTACTCACTGTTGCTAATACACAAGTATGCATACGGATTGTTTTGCGGCAGACTACAGCCATGCTACTGCAAGGGATCCCGAGAAGCAGTCAAAGTATTCTTCAACGGGTCTGGCGGTTTGCCTGCGTCACCGTAGATGCAGCGTCTTCCGGGCGGCCTTGTTGCTCCTGATATGGCTCCTCCTTGATGCTGGTGCAGGGGACTCCCTCATCAAGAGCACCGTTCTAGGCTCGCACCGGCACGTGGTTGGCATCCTGATAAATCGGATGGCCAACATCCGCCATCCGGACGGCTCGGGCCGGATCCCGATCCGGGCAGCGCCACGTCCGGAATGCCGCCCTTATCCGGCTCCTCGCTGACAGCGGTGCCAATCGGAGCGAAACTGACTCCGATGGCTGCAATCTGCTTCACATGGCCGTCAATGGGCCACTCGAAATCATCAAGATCCTCCTTGAGTTTGGCAAGTCTATTGGCCTCCACCGCCGCGACAGCAAACGCCGGGCCTCACTCCTCTCCTGTCGAGGCTAGGCCCCAAGGGGGTGAGGATGTCGCGACATCAGGGTGACATGGACCGATGGCTGCCCCTGTGCTTGGCGGTGCGTCAGTGCAAAAGGGACTTGGCCGAGGACATGGGATCGAAAAAGAGGGACCATGCTGGCGTCGTCCGGAATCCGGATCCTCCTACGTCACGGGGAGAACCGAACGGCAACTTCCAGGCTTGGAGAGGCCGCCGAAATGACACCCCTGACGCTGGCTCGGCGGTGCGGCACTGATGACGAGATTGTCGACAGGTTGAAGTATGGCGTTGAAAGAGAACCCATATCTGCGTCTGCAAAGGGCGATGATGTGCCGGTCGGGCGATACAACATATCGTCTATGGCATCTGTTTTCTGTTTAGGTGTAAGCTTCGAGTGTCCTACAAACCCCCAGGTGCCCCCTTTGTCTACTGATGACGTGGAAGCTCACTGAAATCCGGGCTCGTCTAGCCAATCTTCGGACCAGACGCATCTATACGTGCACCACCTACCCCGACTACAATGTCTGCAAGAATTGTTTTGCTACTGTTGTCGCCTTGCACGGCGCCAAAACCAAGCACGATGGCTAGCCGCACTTCGTGGAGGTCAGTCCCGACCGGGAAGGGCATAAAGATGGACCACAAGCAACCAGGGGCACTAATGAAACAGTCCGCGAGGGCAACATCTGCGTGAAGGACCAAAGGGCGGTAACGGTAACACAAGCAGTGGAGTTGGCTACAGGCAGGGCTGTGTGCTGGAACTTGATACTGATTCTGAGGATGATGATGCGTGGCTTTAGGGATGCTTATACAAGCATTCTTTGCCGTCTGGTATTAAAAACATGCATTTATATATCTTGACTGACTCAATTTAGTACGCCCCGTGTAGCGAACCCAACAGGGCACCTTGGCGGTGCTCGGGATCGGCATTAACTGTGCCTTGAGAAGCCTCGCACCATCTCTAGAGGCCCTCTCAGAATACTGTCAAGCAAGATACTTCTTGGGCGAACCTTCAAGGTGATCATGGCAATCTGAACCCGCTCTCGGCGTGGTGAAGTTGGTGTCTGTTCTTGAACTATCCAGATTGTTGCCCCGTTTAAACATGGCATGTAGCCCTGTAAGCATGGGTGGTTGGGATTTTGCAACTAGGAATCGACCAAGTTGCCCGTGCGCAACCCAGACACGTTTCGTGTCTTTTGGCCTGCAGTTTTGCCGTGTGATCAAGGTTCATGACTAACTTACCACCTTCAGTAGGTAAGGGGGGTGAGATGCTCAAAGTGTGGATTCAGTCTTATTCACCACTTCTGGCGTTCTCCAAACATGCTACACGGTGAAGACCTAGTAATAAAGCCTAATAAAGGGGCATTGCCGATGAACGACCTTGGTGTTACATGGACTAAACACATACCCCGGTGAAAGTCCTAGGTATAAACGTTCTCTTCTTATATGCATAGCGGTCACTTATCCCTACTTTCCTCTTACATCTTACGATATTATCATGAAATCGAGGTATTACGCTCTAAGCCCTTATAGTAATCCCTTGTCACAAAACACTACATCTTAGACCCCAGTCCGCGGTGCACGATATGATGGTGGGCACACCCACTCGAATAGTAATGGCAATAGACAAATCGAGCTTCCAGGGTGAAACAGTCAATTCTGTGCTCCCCTGTCACTCCTGCCAAGCATCATCTCATATAAATTAATAGTAGAAAGTATTGGCACTCCGCACTGTCGGTACATTGGGCCCGGCGGTAATTCTCCATATGGGCGATATGGCAGCATGGGTGAACCGCTCTGCCCCAACAAAGTTCATATCTGCGGCCACGCCTGCTTAGTTTAGGAATTCAAATTACTCTCATGACATCATGGCCCACTGCCTTCTAGTTGCCCATTGCAAAGCCTTCCATTTTGATCCAGGCTACCCTTGCTGTGTGCCTCCACCGCATGAACCGTTGCACCAGGCCGCATCGAATTAGCATCTACAGCGCCACGTAGTCCTTTTCTAGGCGGCCGGTTCGGGTTAGTCACGACCCGTAAATGCCAATAAAAGTGTCAAAATTGCGTGGTGAAGTGCTCCAGCTTTAAATCCTTCCCTCGTGCATTCAGAGCAAAGGCCAACCCTGAACAGTACTTCATGAATCGTCACAAAAAGCATGCCCTCTGATTAAACAGCCATCCTTCCGTCTTTTATTCCCCTGACAGTAGTAACAGGGAATTGTAAAAGCCAGTGCCCCTGTTTTTCCTGCGTGGCACGGGCCTTGTTTGACGTCACAACGATTAGCAGAGAAGCTACAACGCCAAGGGGTTCGGAGAAAAGTCCGAGCACACAACACTCGCTTACAAAGGTACCGTGTTTGGATTCTTCTGCGACCCGTGTGAACTTTTATTGTATAGCTGGAGGGACGGGAAGGAAAAGAGGGAATAAGAACATGCCGCACAGTATAACAGCCTGCTGGGCCATACCGGGTATTAGGCCGCAGAATGCGCAAATATCGGATGAGGCCAAGAGCCTAGTTGACTCGAGATTATAATTGTCTCTGTTAAAGCTTGAAGTGGCGTCAGGTCCAAGTACAATCCAACCCTACTTGGTTTAGCCACAAGTGACAGGACAAGTACGTTTTTGGGGTTATGCACAGGGACCTCTCTGCTAACAGCAACATTTTGTGTATCTAGCAGTAATTGCTAACTAGAATACAGGCCGAAGAACAGTACTGACAAGTAGTGACCCTTGTGGTGGTGATGTTGATGCCACAGGGCGAAAATTGTAGACGCCGACGAATGTTACCGCAGCAGCTGTAATTATAATACTAAACTCAACAGGTGACATGTATTGATAAGACATTCTATCAGAAAATCAGGCAATTTGCCCTCCACACACGATCTCTGTAAGAATTAGCTCTTACTGGCGATAACCCCCTTGCTATATCACGCCTGGCTAAACTCCAGGGCCTGATTTGCTTCAAGAGGCCAAAACCTTGCCAATAGATGGCATCTCATCTCCGCTAGAAGCATTTCCGAGGTATTGTTTAATGCAGGGTTACACGACGAGGCTGTCGGGCCCAACTCCTAGTGGATGGCTTAGGTACCTTCGACTGCATCAACGAAATTTGTATAAAGCTGCGCTTAAGACATCAAGATGCAATCAAATTTCTTGTCCAGGCTCATACTGCGCTGCCGCCGAAAGTACGCAAACTGCGTACATAGTCAGCGCCATGACGGTTCTTTCTATTATACTATACGCACTTGTCTGGTCTCTGAATAGTCGAGCTATAAGTGTGCTAGGTGTGCCGGCCAATAATGACCTGACGTCAAGTCCGTTACCCCAGCTAGACGTGGGCAGTCAGGAGGCCCCAAGGTTAGTAATTTTATCTTTGCCGGCTTTAGGATTTCGGAATTAAGATAATTTCTCCAGCTTCCTAAAGACCAAGCGACAATCAAATAGCGATATTCTGCTTGCCTTGTATTATCGTGATCCCCTCGCGCTCTGGAAAAAGAAACTCGACTCGTTTCATTGGGGAATACACGTTACTCCGGAGAATGTTCCAGGAAAATCTACAACTCTTTTCCATGCCGTGAATGAAGGAGAGGACCTCAAGGTATTCGAGTATGAGAAGAGATTGGTCAACCCGCTTGCCCAGAAAAAGCTGCTTGGACGTATCAAAATCGGCACGAAGCCTAGTACGGTCTCGGTTGAGGATATCGATAACTTACTTTCCCAAGTACCAGTGCCAAACAAACACGACGCCGCGTCCGAGAGTTGCGTCTCATGGGCCCTATGTGGAGTTCGCAAGCTGCAAGAAGGCGGTGTAATTGAGAGCTTTGATACCGAGACTTTTTCTGACCAAGTTCTACAATATGGACTCGAGCAATTCCGTGCTACGTTGTACGCAGACACCGGAGCTGAGAATGAGATAACACACAAAATTGCCCGCTACGATGTGCAGCAAGGGAAGACTGTGGTGGAAGAGGTCCAGGGGAACCAAGCCACCCCAGTTGAGACCCCAGAGAACCCTGAGGAGGCTCCTGTACTTTGCGAACGGTCTGCACTAGACTGCATGAGCCGCCCGGCAAAGGAAAAGACGCCCAATACAGCCGACGAGGGCGAGCTTGTACCAATGGCCAAGCAGAGCTCCAAGGAAAATTTCGACAGCCTTCTGGAAGAGTTTGGCCATGACGGCTTGGTGAAAAACGACCGGCTATATACCGAGCTGAATGTACGACTCGGCGAGCTTAGTACACTGCCGCGAGCTGAGAGAATCGCCGGTTTCACCAAGATTGGAGAGGGTGCGCTAGGCGTCGCCGGCCTCGCACTCTATGGCAAGGCCGTGGCGGATGTATTCACGAGCGATACTAGCGTCATGGATAAAGCCGTCGTACTAACGTCCGTCTTGCCTGGAATCGGCTGCGCGGTCCAACTTGCCCAAGGTATACAGAACGACCACGTGAATGCTGGCCATATTGCGCTATGCTTTGCTGAAGATGCTCTCATGCTCTCTGGGTTCTGGGAAATCGCACTAGTGCTCCAACTATCCGAATCACTTGTCGAGTTCTTTAAAGAAGACGCCGAACAGAGGAAGCTATTTGATACCGAGCTATTCCGCCAAAAGGGCTCAGAGGGGTGGGCACACAACGTTGAGAGAATGCTTAACCACATCAAATCAGATGAATTTGCTGCCTCTGCCAAGACCCAATTCTTGTCTTACCAATTGCTCGTTTTATACCAGGCGTCGCAGCTAAGAGGTGATTTTCAGGCTTCTCACCAAGCTATATCAGCAACGGTTAATGCCTCTGACTCGCAGCCGGACCACGGCACGAATGTCGATGCACATGTCAAGTTCGAGCTCAACCGGCAGATTTGTGCAGCAATGGCGCTGGCTAAACGCCAGCTTCGGCAGAAACTTGAATCAGTAGCCCTTAAACACACTGAGAAGCTGTCCAACGACTTCAAGGAGCAGTTCTTTGGCGAATACCGGAAGGCGGCGACGAGGCCGATCAGTTTCCTTGGCATTCCGATGCCCCAGAATTCTTGGAATATCGCAGAGCTCGACCGCGTTATTAATGAAGCTAAAGCGTTTCCTCTGCCCCTATACAAAGACAGGATCGATCACGCTATTCAAGAGGTTATGGAGCGGCTCGAGATGCCTGATCGCTGCAAGTGCCTTCAGGGTAGTAAAAAGAAGGTGTGCGAGTTTGCAGACTGCTCAAATCCGGAACCCAGGCGATGGCATCACGATTCAGCAGGAAGGATTTACGTCAAGAATATTCTGTCTCAAGACATTGGCGTGAGAACGAGTCTATCTGAGAATTGCACGGCTCTTTTCACACCATGTCAAGGCCCTGACTCGGCAGGCGAGACTGGCAGGCAACTGTGGTGTAGGTTATAGGCTTATAGTTTTTGGGCGTCAAATGCATCCATATTCCCCTGTTATTATTTTTTTCTGTGAGAAAGTTGTTTTCTAAGCTCCTCTCGTCAAGTTGTTCACCTTATTCTAGTACAGCCTTCGATTAGTATACAGCTCCTTGAAATAAACTTGATACACTTATTTGACGTAAAACGTTACCATTTCAGGGCCCCCAAGTTCTCTTACAGGGTCGAGTCTGCTCGGTTACGTGGCACGACGTGCTGTCAACAGGTGCGGACGAGAGAACAGAGATTGTGGTATGGAATAATGACACAGCTTTGCGGCACATGTCGGATGAATGGGAAGTGAATGGGCAGGTATTATTTGGTCATCAATAACCGCCATGTCCATGACTCGCCACAGGTTCTAGACCGGCTTCTGCCGTGTGACGTTGCACCTAGAGGTGTTTGGGCTCACTAGAAGGCTTCTTGCCTCCCACCGAGAAAGGAGAATGTAGGACTCTCATGGTTTGTGCTCGCGGTGCCCGTGATAATCTATCATCAGCTAGAGGCGTGAGTGCATCGAGTTTCTAGACCAAACACCTGCCCATCTAGGACTGAGTGGACAAGTCACTTGGCCTGAATCAAATTGCGACACAGCATCATGAGAGTAATGCTACTCGAGAAAGCTACTGCTCCTAATACTTTGTCACGGATGAGAATCTGATAATATGATAGAACCATAGAAGATGCACATTACTCCACGTCTCACAAATGAACAAGGCCTAGGACTGGAGAAAGTTTATGCAAGTCTCACATAATGGATTTGTATTTGTTGTCCGTGTTTCATCCCATATCTCATTTACGTTAGGGTCTTTTGTCTCTGCATATGGACTCACGTAAGACGTTATGCATACATCGCCAATTGAGGCAAAGACTGGATCCTGCAAAATTCTTGGTAGTAGCCACAACGATGTCTCACGACATGCACTGGTAGACTCACTTCATGACTAAGAGACTCGTTTAGATGGCAGTTTGCTCGTTAAAACAGGGATCATCGGCCAGTCGGAACATGCAGGAATGCTGCATACCACACAAATTGCAGATGATATGCTGTTGTATGACGTGATAGAATCCAGGACACGGCATATCTACTTTTCATATGGTGTGTGTTTCCATGACATAAGCATCCTGTAATATGCGGCAGGCGAGGTAGCCTTTAGTGACGAAACTCTTATCTTGACTCTGCGTGAATGAGGGAGCTTCGTTTCCATGAAAAGTGCAGAAATAAAAGGTCCGATGATAAAGATCGGTACCTGTTGCTAACGCAGCTTTGCTCCTCGGCCACCCGCATCACAGGGGTCTCAGCCTCGAGTCACGTCGTGTATGCAGAAAGTTACAAATGACTTGAGGCTGACAGGGTTCAGAGTCACACCACATTACTACACACCCGGGCATACATAGCGGATGCGGACAATGACCAGAATGGCAGCGGTGGCATGGAGACATGCGAGAAAGATGGAATGCGGAGAGCTCTCAAGCATATATATACCTGGTGTCGCGGACGTGCTGCGAGGCATCACTCACTTGTCTAGACGTCTAGGTACACGACTACACCAAGTCAATCAAACAAGAGGCCGGCATTATCCATCATTTTTACCGCCCGAAGGTGTCTAAGCCCTCGGCCCGCCGTCGCCATCGCAGTCATGCGCGCTTTTCCCACCACGCTTCTCTTAGCTACTCTAGCTCCTTGTATTCATGCTGGCGTCATCGCTGCTAGGAAAGACCATGGTACTTTCAACACTTATACGGACGACCACTGCGGCGATTTCGAACAAACTATCTATGCTTGGGATGGTGTTGAGCGGGGTCAGATTTGCCCTCAGGTGAAGTCGGTTCAGGCTAATATTGCCAATGACACGCGTAGGTCCCCGTATAATCCGCAATATAACCTTTCTACTTGGAGCGATGAAGGAAAGTAAGCTAATCCCCGAGCATCTAAGTCGTGATCTGGGTTGACGGGGGAACGACTCAACCGTTGGTTATTAGGCCTGGCGACACGGCTTGTCACAAAGTCGATGGTCGGGTCAAGGGCCCTTTTTGGAATCTTTCCAACTAGAGCAATGCCTCCATAATATGTCCTCAATAAGTGTGTCCTGGCACGACTTATGCCCGGAAATTTTCACAACTTGTGCTGTGGTAATTGTGCAGCCTTTTATAGGTTATTTCCTTTGGCTTGTGGGACTTTTTCTCTGCAGTATAATGTAAATGCAGCGGCTACTCAACATTCCCAAACCATGACTTTCCGTCGTGATATTTGATCAACCTCTCACTGTCACCAGGTGCGCCAGTATCTGAAGCTTGGCAATGTTCAAATCCAAATACGGGTTCCTTGCCATTTGTGCTGCTTGTATTGTCAACTCATTACTACTAACTTCAAAGCTCCATATATGGGTGAAATTAGAGCGGCTTCCACTGGTGGTCTAATTGACCCATTGCGGAACGCGTTATAAGTATCATAAATCTATATTCTATTGACTTTGTATTTTATACTACACCTTGTATAACGTAGTGGATTTATTATAAGAGATACCACAAAATACAAACTGAATAATGAGGCGAAAACTGTCGCCGTTTTTGCCGGCGTCCGTGATGAGGCAGTGACGCAGCTTAGATACAGTGTATATTGAGTCAGGAACAGGCTGGGCAATCAAAACGTATAATCTAGAGGATACTCCCTGGCACTGTTAGTTCCGGATATTTCCTAACTTTCGTCTCTTTAACGCCTTCTGGCTATAAGGAGAGGAAATTATCCTATTATCGAGACGTCACAGAATATCTGCGTACACTTATACCTATTACTATATATATAATACCCCCTCTTAGTATTCTTAGTATATATATAAAATAAAACTTAGCTATATAATAATTATATATTTCTATTATAAAATATAAAGGCAGAAGCAGGCTTAATAATACTTCTCTTTGCTTATAATCTGCTAATATTATAGCGGCTTTTAGCTGGATAACCGTATATTAATAATAGCCACGCTCTTAAATTATTAATATCATTTAAAGTAAACCGACTAACAACGGGAAGGGCAGATGATTGGTCTTGGGCAGTGGACAGCCATGGATTTTGCAGACCTTGACGCCATTGAGTCTTCTTATCATGGCAAAACGCACCTTCAGATGTAGACCAAACCAAGACAAAACCATTGGAGAATCAAACTACAGCACATATCACGGCTTCCCTGAGAGAGAGAGTGGCGTTATGGTGGCAAATGCAAAGAACACAGGACGATGATGACCAAGCGCAAGCAAATGGCTGCCAAGGTCTGTCGTAGTAATACGGGGTGACCAAACCGCGAGATTCATGTTCACTACCTTGAAGAAAGTGATTCAATATGCAAATTATCCATTCCCGCGAAAACAAAAAAAGCACCATTATCAAACCTGGCACCGCGCAGGTTGTCACACGGCTGGCTATCACAAGATGGCAGCACGGACAGACCCTCAAACCCGACGGTAGTCACTCAAGGACTAAAGACCTAGTCGGAGGCCTTGGGCGTATTTGCTGCAATCCCATATCTTCGAAAGGTTGAATTTTGCTTTGTGAAGGTCTTCTTCTCTTCTGGAGTCTTTTCGGGAACGACTTCATTCGTTGGCCTTTCGGGGGTTCCGTCTTCGCGCGCGGCGACGACGAAGTCGGCGCCCCTTTTCCCCAGTTTCACCGGAGCGATTACCCGCGAGGTCAAGAGATGACAACATGCTCTCGTATATTCGACCGGCTTCTGATATCGCGTCTAGAAAATCCTCATCCGTCTTAGGCATCTTTCCCCGCCTCGTATACACCAAATAGGTGATCTCGTGAGGCAACGTTTGCTTGATATGCGTCTGTAGCGAGATGCCTGACCAACGCACTGACTCGTTAAGATATAGAAGCTCGTCGAGATATTTCGCCGTGTCTCCCTGGTACTGGAGTTCTCTCATGCGTTTGTAGTTCCTTGACGCCTCCTTGGTGTCTTTAAATCGTGCCTGCAGGGCCGCCGAGTAGGAATCCCAAGAGTCCGTTATGCCCAGCTGATCCATCTGTTTCTTCCTGCAATGATGCCACATCTGGGCGCTATCCGATAATAAAGAGCCCACCCAGCCAATCTTGAACTTGTCAGATGGGAAGCGTTCGGCATAGGAATGCATGAACGCCGTGACTCTTGACCACCACGGGCGGAACCTACTGAGATCATTCCCATGGTAAGTTGGCGGGTTGCGTATGAGCTGGATAGGGTGTTTAGGGAGGGATGATGCAGCTGGTCCTAGCTTGTTGAGGGTGTCATCGGCGTTGACCGACTTCTCTGCCCGTATCCGCTTCACCGCTTCTCTTACCACTGATTCGACCAAGGAAGGAATCTCCCGTAGCTGTCTCTCGGTACGCGCATTGAACTCATCAAGGGTGACGTACTGGCGAGCTTCAAATAGAGTTATCTTCTGCTGCAGTATAGCTGTCTTCTGCTCAGTGTCTCTCTTGAGTTTGCGAAATTTCTCCTGAAGAATAGACAGATCGACCCTGAATTGTGCCAGGTCCTCGTTTATTTTATTGTTACCAGCTTGCAAATGTTTAATCGAAGACCAGAATTCATCGTTGTTTTTGGTGTGCTGGGCCATCTGGCTGTACACATCACGCCCGAATTGGCGAGTCACTTCTCCCATCGCTTGCTAGAGGCAGGCAAGATCGTCTTAGTTGACCGTAGCGCCGGTTCTGAAAGGGTCAACTAAGTGGTATTTGTCGCAGACCACTTGGCAGTATTGTTGGATGGCTTCTTTGTTGCGTCAATTAGTTACTCCAACGTTTCGGGTCCATAAACGAATGGCTTCTCGAGCATGGCTCATTTTCTTACTGTCTCTGGTTATACCGGTCGATGCAGCATGGCCAAAAGCCCTCATGAGGTCGGGTGTGTCGTTGATCGCGATTTCGAAGTCGGGGGAGCCGGTCGTAGCAACTCGCATTGATATGAGACGTCCTTGGTTTTCCTCAAGGTTCCCAGGGGCAGAAAGGTCTTTGTTATACAAATCAGCGGTGAGGCTTGATTCCTGAGGCCACAAACGCCTAAGGCATGCAACTGGGTCTTTGGGCCCTTGTGTAACTATCGTCGGGCTCGAGGGTCTGCCCGTGCCCTGATGTTGTGTGCCAGTGTGACACGCCTGTACAATGTGGAAAGCAACAATGCGCTACGAGTTGGCGTATGGAATGTTCCAAAAAGGTCAACTGGTATAGTATACCTGGGTTAGGCTAATACCCCTTATTATCTCCTACTACCAAAAGCGGCGGCACAAACCGCCAGATGCGGTGGGCTCGGCAGCGCTTCTTGCATTTTTTAAGTTAAAGAGGGTTACTTTATCTAAGCTACTCTTAACCGTTCTTGTGCTTTGTACCGTTACATAAATGTCTTAATTTCTTACTCTTATTGTAGACATGTTTTAAGATAAAGAACGTATAGCAGTCTCTAGTCTAGTTTGCATGGGATGATAGAAATGCCAATTTTAAACCTTGGCGTAATAATAACTATTGCCTATAGATGTAGGCCATGAGTTATAATGCAATCTGAAAGCCGCTGATGCTGGCTCATCCTTCACCTCAATATGCATCCCATGTACCATGCACGTTCATCATACCGAGTACCCCTAATTCATTTCACCTCTCAATCGAGGAAAGATGGGGAGCAAGTTACCCCCAAGAAGCCAGTACTGTTCAACGAATGGTGAGCACTTAAAAGGCTGAGCACAACATCATGCGCCATACTTGGTACTTACACCATACCAACAGTAAGACACATAGTCATACTTCTCGTCATAGCTCAAAAGAAAACCACCAAGACACCGTAGACCTAGGGCGGCAAATACAATACTGGCAACGGCTGGTGGTTGCCATAACGCAATTAGACCAATCGTCCAAGCTACAATCAAAGCTGCAAGCGACCAACGAGCGGCTGGTTGGGAGAGCAGCAGCGGAATGGTCTTGCGGCCTCTGACAGCATCGGCCGTGCGATCGCGGAAGTCTTGAGCGTGTCCCTATGTGGCTTTTGCTCGCATCAACTACCAGAAATATCGTGTTGCGTAGACTTACAGTGGTTGCAAAAATGGCACCTATCATGAACACAGCGATTGCTTTCAGACCGTACAACTCTCTGCCATGATCTTAGAAGCAGTCAGCACGCAACCGCATTGTCGTCAAAAGCATAAAAAGAAGCAAAAAACAGAAAGGTGTAGGCAAAATCAAGTGTCGTACCAAGTATGATGGTGGTACCCCAGCAGTAACATGCGAGACCTATAGCTCCAATAACATTTTTTACGACCGGTATCGCAGCCAGACCTCCCTCGTTGTATATGAGAATTGCCACAGAGTAGGTCAGAGTACACGGTATCGTTTTCATAGTAAGTGCTGCAGCCCACATCAACGCAAATAGGACGTAATACAGAACCGCTGCATTCTCGGGTGATATACGGCCGGATGGCAGGGGACGGTGCGACTTTGCTATTCTGTCTTCTTCCACGCCGTCGATCTAGTCGGTTCGGATCAGTACAGATGGCATGGTGTATCGGGGGTAAACGCTTGCGCTGACCTGATTCTTAACCTACATACATGTCAATGATATGTACGTCATCCTTGCACGGAATGATTCGAATTTTACCTGGAACGTAAGCAAATGTAGCTGATTCCATATGAAGCCCTTCGCGATTACGGACAAGCTTGCTGGTCCTGCGAGCACAAGGGCAACGGCCATCTGCATGGCTGCTTAGCAGTACGCGGACAAAACTGTTTCATCATACATACCGATGGCAAAGCTGCGACCGGGATGTCCGATTTCCCAAACAAGTACAGAATTTTTAAAACTTCGAAGGAATGAGTCCTCATCGCTACTAAATTCTTCATGGTTGCCACTGCCAAGGTCAGACACACGCGATGGTTTGTACAGAGAGGCGAAATACAGAGAAAGAAGACATAAGATGTCAGGCCATAAGGAAGGCTTTAGTGGTAAGATTGCACGCGCTCGCTTAATAGTACGATGGGAAGTCTATTGCCTCTGTGACGTCTGTACTCGCATATTTTGGTACCCAGATATGCCGCCCAGGTAGCATCATTATTTTTCTTAGCAAATGCTCAGCCCCAGATTAATTTTACATTAGGAAGGTTCCGAATCACGTGTATATTTGCCGAGCCTCTCTGATTAAACACATGTTTGGCAGGTTTTGAAGTATCGCCGAAACTTCGTACAGGTGCCCCATCCGTGCATGTAGTCCACAATATTATGCAAATCTCCTGCATGGTCACAATATTTCTCTATCAGCGGGGTTCCGAAATCTTGCTATTAAGAGTAGGCACTTGTATCATACGAAGATTATTTTCGGTCAAGTGGCTGGGGTTACGATGGGGTAGTACTTTGGCAGATAGTATCCGCCGTAAACGGCATTTTTTCCCCATCAAGCAAGTTCCGAGTTGGTCTTACTTGCCTTCTCAAAACAGAAGATGTAGGTGGAAAGTTCCGGAGCGTGTTTAAAGCTGTCGCCGTTTTGGCCTTGTCATGTTGAAGGGACGTCTCCCCACTTCCTATGCCAACAAACTTTCAATGAAAAATCTTGCAATTACTACGGATGAGCGACAAAACAAAAACTCCCGTTGCCGTTTACATCCTGAAAGACCAAGTCCACTGCCCTGAGACACGATAAATAATATCTGTAGCAGAAGTGTACCACTACGAGGGATCCTGCTGGGCTGTCGCCTGAATGAAGTTTCATCGTTAGGTTATAATGACTCCCAGTTTGCTCGGCCAAGTTGGCCTCGTGGCTTTGGTAGCGTGTCTCGGTCTACTACTATGTCAACGACTATTGAAGCAGAAGGCAGGCTATCGCCTTCCTCCTGGGCCGAAACCTCTGCCTATTGTCGGCAATATCCTTGATCTCCCGCCGAAAGGAGAGCCAGAGTTCTTACATTGGTTCAAGCACAAAGACACTTATGGCCCAATTAGCTCCATCACTGTAATGGGCCTAAATCTCATCATCTTTCATGACAAAGAGGCTGCACATGCGGTAATGGGGAAAAAAGCCCAGAAGACATCTGCAAGACCGCAGCTCAATTTTGCTACGCTATGTGGTTTCGAAAACTTCCTGATAACCCATCAGTATAACAATACATATCGCAAGCATCGAAAAATGGTCCACCAGGAGATTGGTACTAAGTCACTGTCCGCCGGTTTCCAAGGCACTCAGGAAAAGGAAGCTCTGCACTTCACCCTACAGACGTTGCATGATCCTGACAACATACTGAAACATTTAAAACGGTAAGCCATCACCACTTGCCCCTTTTCCTTTCCTCCAATAAGTGATGGATTGAGTTACAAAGCTGACAGTCTGTCAGTCTAGCGGCCGCTGTTGTATTGAGAATTACGTATGGATATTCGGTGGAGAGGAATGGGCCAGATCCGCTCGTGGATGTAATTGAGCACGCGATGGAGAATCTGTCCCGTGCGTTTGTACCACTTTCTTGGGCGGTCGACGCTGTCCCTGCCATCAAGCATTTGCCTGACTGGTTCCCTGGCACGTCGTACAGGAAGACGGCCAAAGAGTGGAAAGGAATCAACGAGGCCGCCGCAGAGCTACCATACGAATTCGTCAAGCGGCAGATGTCACAAAAGGCCCACCGGCCGTCGTACGTTTCTAACCTGCTGGAGAAAAACATGATCAAGACCGGTAATGAAACCAGCATGACATTGGATGACGAAGAAGCTATCAAATGGACTGCGGTCAGTCTCTACGCCGCAGGCTCGGATAGTACAGTCGCCATCATAACAAGTGTCATCTGTGCCTTGGTCATCTTTCCAGAAGTGCAGGAACGGGCGCAGGAAGAAATTGATCGTGTGGTTGGAAATGATCGGCTCCCTACTTTCGACGACAGACAGAATCTACCTTATATTGACGGCATCGTGAAAGAAGCTTGGCGATGGAACCCCGTGGGACCGATGGGGTTGACACACAAATCCGAAGAAGACATTGTGTATGGGGAGTACATGATTCCCGAGGGCTCTTACTTACTTCCCTCTCTCTGGTGGTTCTTGCATGACCCAAAAGATTACTCGGATCCACACACTTTTAAACCGGAGAGGTATATGGCGCCACTGAACGAGCCTGATCCTGGTGATCTCGCATTTGGCTACGGGCGACGATCTTGTGCCGGCCGTTTTTTCGCCGACGCAAGTGTTTACATTACCGTTGTGCAATTGCTTGCCGTTTTTCGAATTCGAAAGGATAGGGATGCAAACGGAAACGAGATTCCCGTAAAGCTGGAAGCTATTCCAGGAATGGTCAATCGTCCCAAGGAGTTTGAGTTCAAGGTCGAGCCACGGAGTCCGCGTCATGTCGAGCTTCTCCGTCGCATCGAGGGAGAGCAGGAGCCAGAATTCAGCGACGCAGGTCGTCTCAGTACCAAGGCCGGGTAAGGAATGATGGATCTCATAAAGACGATGGTAGTTGTTGTTTGCTACGGCATCATGCGATATAGTAGCTTACCACATTTCAGTTTAGCATATGAGCTGCAAACGGCTCTCGTTCTTTTTGGTACCACAGAGTCTGCGATTTTCACTTTCCATTGTACCACAGAAAATATTTTATCGCACCGCTTGTCTAGAATGCAGCCTTTCGTTTTCTCTGTTCCAGACTATTTGCAGCTGATCGTCCTTTTGCGATCATTTGCAAATCGCCAAAAACCCTTCTTACATCGTCGACAGCAGCCTGAAGAAGTTTGAACGCCTTTGTTCCAGTCTTAATTTCATCATGTAAATGTTCTAGAATCCGTTGAAGATCGTTGAAATGCATTATGACTATGGTAAATACAAACTCAAATGTCAACGTCGTTGCCCTAACTGTATATTTGCCCACATGGATACCCGCGCTCAGTGACGGAGGGGGTACGTCGATGTCTGATGAGGTGTTTATTTTTTGGTGGTACGTAAGAAGCTGACGGCATAGGTGCTGCGACATGCTCACCAGATGCCGGATAACTGTGATGACGAACATCGAATTTGCGGTACAGAGAGAACAATAGTTGCATGGCAGGACTCGCTTACACGTGTCGATGCCATCACGAAAGTCCACGAGTAAGTCATCGAAGTGTTCAGTTTGATCATTATCGCTGCCATCGTCGCGGTCGATCCTCTCGAGTATATCGGCCAGGACTCGGACACACTCGCACCGGTGACTGCGGTCCTTAAATAAGTCCGCAGAGGCGGCATTGGGGTCGGCAGTCGGCGGGCGGCTCGTGATGAGGTCGTCCAAGACATGGCCAGCCGCACTCCCCGAGGCAGTGGACGACGATTGTGGTCGAGTGGTGCCTTGAAGCTCGTCGAAGTGGGATAGAGAAGGAGGAGCATCTACATTCACATCAATCCTGAAACCTAGGCTTTCGTCCTCTCTTGCATGAACTTGGTCCCAGTCATGGTGGTCGTCATGGAACAGGGGCAGCGTCATGGGCGACCAAAAGCCCATTTTGAGGTCCGCCGAGGGCAATGGCTGGCACATGTCCATCGGTGCAGTAGTAGATGTTACCCCAGCCGCGGGACTGCAATCGAAGTTGCTTTCTATGTGCGGCCGCCTTACATGAGACTTTGAAGCAGGCCAAACTTTGGAATCTGTTGCTGATCGGCGGTGCTTCGAGTTTGACTCTTTGGAACAGGCAGACGACCTGTATGTGCATGCGGTGGACGTAACTTGACATCGTTGGCAGCCATAAAGGTCTCCGCTGCATTTGAGCTTTTGCCAAGTTTGCTTCATCAGTTACGGTTACGCGATGTGTCTGAGAATTTGACCTACCTTTTTATCTCGGCATTGGTCACAGGCCTAGTTCCCATTTTCTTAGCATCTTTATTGATTGTGACTATGCTCTGCACAATGAAGGCCGACGGTTCGAGGACTGGTTTAACAAGTTACTCACTATCACGGTATAGTTGCGAGCGTCAACCCTACTATTGCCTGACAAGTCAACGTATTCCAGATTGTCCCTCGCGTCTTTATTGCAACGGAAAGCGCCAAACATGGCTTAGATTCAACGATGACGCATCTGCTGGTTGACTGATTTACACGGAAAAGGCGGGAGGAGTCAAGCAAACGGAAGAAAAGCCCAAGAGCCAAAAGGAGTCAAAAGAAATAGGAGTGGGAGGCATCACGCATTGCAAGGTGACGCGGCTCCATGGTACTCATTTCAGTCATGCCGCTAAATAAGAGGGTTGACGGTAACCAGATGCGAACCCAGAGTTTGTTTCTGCAGTCAATACTGCACGCCTAGGGTCGTTTGCTGACTCCAATTGACACTAAATGCCAATAGCTGCAGAGTCCCCAGTTTATCAAACGATTGGCATGAGTATGCGGATGGACGATCACTTATTTTGCTGGGGCCGAAGAGGGTTGTCCTAGTCATCAAACCGAGTGATTCGGCAAATCTGATGAGATTGATCAGGACCCTCGTCGTCGGCATTTGATCCCCAATCGCCGAAAGGACACTTATCTACATAGCCACGGTTGCACAATGTGGAAAACATTTCATGCGGGGCTATATTGTCGTCACATGGAAGTTCCCGTCTGACATGCAGAAGCGTGAGGGTCAAAGCGTGTAGAGCAGAGCCTGACTCTCGGCCGTCTTTGTTGGCCAAGTCCAGACCTCATCTAGCCGAGACGCGGCAAAAACGTCTCGCCTTCTTAAGCATCAATGTGCTTTTTGTCTGCGAACTGCGGAGTGAGTCAGACCTCCCTTGGGTGAGTCAAGGTGACCCTTTTGCGAGTTGTCTGTTTCTGGGAACTGCTGGGGGATAATTGTGAAATATTATATAATAATTCCCATAAATTTGTAAATATATGTAACTCGCGACAAGGCTACCTTAACTCACTTAAGGAAGGTCTGACTGAAGTTTGCCACGTAATGTTCAATGTTGCCAGGGTTCAAATGTTCCGGTGCATATTCGATCCCCACCAGATTATATAGAAGGTGCCGGCCCTAAATTTCCGGGTACTGCCCGGCACCTTTTGGCACGGCCCGGCACCACCCGGCACCACCCGGCACTAGCTTTTAGCACCTTTGGCACCTTTGGCACCCCCCAGGCACCTCTGTTATGGTGCCGGCACGGTGCCCGCACCACTACAGGTCCCCATAGAGCCCCACTACTGACCGATCAGGAAAGAATCCTTTTAAGGCCCCACTAGGGTGAACGGGACCGGTCCCCGGATACTGGGCACTGAATGAATGACCTTGCTTCAAACACCGAGCCAGAATCCCGAAAGGCCGAACGGGTCTGGGACGAAGGCACTTATCGGGTCTAAGACAACAAGGTTTCTTGGCATAAAGTCTATTTGGTGACTCTGTTTATATCGAAGTCAGAACGTTGTTTGTGAAATGTCTAGCGTTTACAATTTCGTTCCCCGAGTGTAATCCTCTTTCTGCTGTTCTCTCCCTCCAATCATATGACCTCATCTGAATATCAATATCCCACCACGTTTGTTGTTTCCAATTACGAGCCAGACTCCAACAAATGGACGTCGACATGGAAGGAGCCAAAGCTCATCTTCGAGAGCACGGATGGGTCAAGATTCCATCCATCCTTACCAAAGATGAGGCAGCTCACGCGCTTGGGCGGCTATGGGAAGCAAAGAAAACATCAGAGGCTAGCGGCGAGGAAACATTCCAACCCATTTTGGACCCTAATCCTTCTAATGTGCGGGTGTTTTATCTTCCAGAGCTCGATGAGTACTTCCGCGACATGCTTACGCATCCCACCGCCATAGAGTTGACAAAGTCCCTACTCGGCGAAAAGTTTCTCGTCAGTAATTTCTCGGCCAACATCGCGCGCCCCGGATCAGAGAGCATGGCACTGCATTCAGATCAGAGCATTGTCCTTCCCGAGCCCTGGCTGGATGTCTGGGCTGTTAACGTCATCTGGTGTTTGACAAAGGTCACTAAAGAAAACGGCGCAACATTATACATCCCCGGGTCTAACAAGTGGACTCGGTGGCAGGATATTCCCGAAAACGCACCAGAACTTCTGGTACCATTCGAAGCAGATGCCGGTGATATAATTGTCCTAGATGGCCGCCTGTGGCACACATCAGGCAGCAACACGACAAAGAATGAGGACCGTGCTATTCTTTTTGCGTATTACTCCGCTCCTTATATGCGTCCACTGGTCAACTGGACTGCCAAATTGCCCAGCAAGTTGCAGCAGACCCTGAGCCCGGAACTGAAGGAGTTGTTTGGCCTGGGGCATATTGGCTATGTTGTCAAAGGCGACTTAACATACATGGCCGCAAAGTACCCTGGAAAGTTCAATGGAGGACCTGCGAGCACTTGAGTCACTCAATGACCTCGGATGCGTTGGGGTTTCTATTCAGCGTGGCAGATAGTCTACAGTATCACGAGTAGCCTAACTTCTCTTTGATGTTCCGCCATTTCTCGCCTCTATTGCACTTGTTAATGACTTGAGTCACTTGAGTGACCAAGCTGACGCTGCTGACATAACTGCAACCACAAACACAACGCATAGGCTCTCAGTAAACGGGAGAGGTAAACCCAGGCTCATGCAACTCCATGATGTTCCCTTGTTTCACCACTGAGTTACTGACGATGACCCCCCACGATCGTCATCAGATCGTCTGTATCACACAATTAACGGGGCCTTGGGCAATGTTTGGGGATACGGAAGTTACTACAGAAGTCCTTGAATTCCTACAAAAGAGAGTAGTGGTGAGAGGTGCATTGTATGCTCGCGCTCTCTCATCTCTTACATCTCACGAATACCAACAACTGTAAGAGTCCTGGCTAGAGAGCATGAAAAAAAGCTTCCCATGTACTTGTACAATGGCCTAGATCTCGCCACGAACAAGCCGTTTACTACTATGGTATCTACCAAGCTAAACTGTCAGTTACCTTTCACGCCATCCAGGTAATATGGGGCCGGATCTTTGGACTGTGTGGCTACCGTTTTTGATACGACGAGCGCTTAACAAGCCCACAACTTGATAACCCTATAGTTTTAATTCAACGCAATCATTGAACATCAATACAGTTATGGTGTAGAGTAACAAGTTTTTCTCATTCGTTTTCATGACATAAAACTAAGACTATACCACTCACGAGGTTAAACGATGTATTGTGGTAGAAACTCTATAACTGGTGACTTGCTCGTGCCCGCCTCACTTAGTTGGAACTCTCTCAGTCACTCTGCACCAGCTTAAGTTGGTGCTGGACGACCATGTAACGTCAGATACAATGTGGCTCTCTGACGTCGCAATGGAGTTTATTAAGTGTAGAATGTAGAGTTGTAGTAATCATTCTCCTTGTCTCCCTCGTTGGCCTGGGGGGTAGGCAATAGCCGAATGTTACATACACTGGGTTTGTGTAAATTCACGACAGTAGTGCTATGAACCATGTGAGTGGGGTTGGGTTGCCACAGAAGAACACAACATTCAATCCACAAGCATCATCAATTCTGATCGCATAGCCAATTACATAACCCATCGCGAACTAAAGTAATGCTGGTGTATTTAACACCATATCGCTGTATGCATACACTTTTTAGCAACCTTGGACTTGATCCAAAAAAATTCACAGACACAACTTTTCCTCATCCATTTTCCGGGAAGTAAAACGGTAGAAGAGCTACAGATTCTGTCAAGATCAAGTCGTTCATTCAAGGCAACAGCCATTGCCCGGCAGGCAGGAGTATTACAGCAAGTATTACGTTTCGTATCATTCCACTCTTTATGTAGCAAATCAAGAGTCTCTCGTTTTGTCCAAGCTGTCCCATGCAATCGTGCTGTGTGACCATACCTAGGCACAAGAGCTTGTTATAACCGTGGTTTTTGGTTATAACCATAACCTTACCGAGAATTGGTTATATAGTTATATGATTATAACAAGTTATGGTTTTCACCTCATGGTTAAATATGGTTACGGTTACAACAACCCAAATAAAATCCATATTTGACCATATGCCCAGGTATGTGTGACACAGATTCCGTAGGTTCGCACAATGCGCAACCCTGGCAATGTGCACCGATGCCATGGTTCTACAACAAACTATGGTTTTCGGTACGACATATACAAAAAGTGTGTGAATGTAGAGGAGTCCATCTAATAAATTCACTATGAGTATTCTTCTGCCCCAGATGAGTCGGGACAGTGCTCCTAGGAAGACGACGCAAACCACCCTCCCAGATAATGACTTTTGCATATATATGCAAAAGTCGTGGCACGGACCAGCTTTCACCAAGTTTGTCACGGGCTGGGCTAGGGACCCGCGGAGTGTGCTTTGAAATACATTATGCGAGATATATTGAGCTTCTGATATGCATGTGGCCCACGCAATGTAACTGTAAGCCACCCTTTGAGCTTAGTCAAGCTGCAAATGCAAAGTTCCCAATCAGGCGATTCGCATATTGGTAGGTCATTGGATTTCCCACGACGCGCACATCGGATATTTCCTTTTGTGTCAAAACCCAATTGCTGGCGGCTAGGAAGGAATATGACAACCAGCCGAGGTTGGTTATTCAACCCCATGTCGATAAAAATGTATTTGGCGGATCTTTGGATGGAGCAATACAAAGGTTGCGTCTCAACTTGACATCTGTTGAGCGAATTGATCTAGCCAGGCCCATTCGCAAATCGTCAGCAGCATTCTTGCTGTTCGCTCGCCAACCGCTATGGACCAACCCCCAGAACTGTTCCCGACCAATTACAAGCCCTCTATCCGCATTGCAGAGCTATCAGCCAACGCGCCGATAGAAGAGATTCTCTCCGTAATTGACCGTGACGGCGGCGTCATCATCAATGGCCTTGTTAGTTCCGAAGAGCTAGAGTCCATTGAGAAGGAGATTGAGATGTACACCAAGGCAGACCGGTCCGAAGATGAAGGTTTCTTTAAGGACTTGGTTCCACAGGAAACAATCCTAATCGGCGGTCTAGTTGGCAAATCTGATACAATGGCGAGAATTTGCGAGCATCCGGTTCTCGAACAACTACGGACACACATCTTGACCGACGTTGGCACTAGAAGGGTTGAAAAGTATAATCTTCCGTATCATATCGACCCATTGCTCTCTGTGAGTTTGAGCTTTCGCATCCAATACGGGGCGCCACGACAGCGTCTTCACAGAGATGACGGAACACACCTTATTGAGCATGAGAGCAAGCCGTACAAGCTCAACAATGCGGCTCAATTTGGGTGCTTAATTGCAGGTGTCGAGACAACGCAGGAAAATGGTGCTACCATGTTTATCCCTGGCAGTCATCGTTGGGATGATAAAAGAGAGCCGCGGTTAGACGAGGTGACTTTTGCTGGTGCGTCTGTTTTTTTTTTTTCTCCTCTAATGTTCATTTGCTTTCTTTACGTATTGCTTTCTTCATTTCTGACAGAAACATAGAGATGAAACCAGGCGCGGCACTCATTTTCCTTGCGTCTTGCTGGCATGGCGCCGGCCACAACAGCGTTCCGGGATTTACTCGCGTGCTTCACGGCTTATTCTTCTGTCGTGGCACTTACCGCACACAGGAGAACCAATTCTTGGCTATCCCACGCAGCAAAGCACTGTCGATGAGTCCCAAGATGCTCAATCTCCTCGGTTACAAACAACCTGGCGCAGCGCTTGGAATGGTGGAAAATGCAGATCCTATGTTGGATCTGGAGCATTTCCTTAAAGAAGCCAATCTGTAGGATGGTACTCTGTTTGCCATAGATATGTCGAATTGAACAGACCAAATTGCCGTGTTGTAGCGGCTTTGTGTGTCTTGGTACGACGATAGCCATCCCGTTAGGACTGTATTACAATGGCATCTCCCGATTCTCATGTGCATATAACTTTTACATCTTAATGTTTTGGACAGACTGGGTATGTGCTTGTTTCGGCCGCTTCGCAGGCACTGCGTTGACCTCTAGGTTTAAAACTTTAATGTTGTTCTCCCGGTGGCAGTGAAGGCTTCACTGAACAAAGTCAAAATGGTGGAGTAACTAGCACTTAAATAGACAACCACGAACTGCTGGTTTTATATTACATACATACGGAGTATATTAGTTGTCAAACACGTGAAAGCACTACTACGGTCCCATTGCATGACGTGTGGTCAGCTGTCAGGGCTTACAATCAAGGTACAAGAAGTATAGCGACTACAGGAGTCGACTAAAGCACCATTGGAGGAAGTGTAGCATTCCATTTGGCCTTGTGTAACCGAATTACATGATATCAGCTCCCCGGAAGCAACTACGCCTTTGGTCAGCGAAAGGGTTCAGACGCAACATCGTTTTGCTCTTGTTTTGGTGCATGTGGAAATTTTCATACTCTCGGAAAGATACCGCTCTTCCGAGAAACTCTTATACGCCAAAGGTACCGTGCTTATGAGCCGCATGCAGTTTTATTGTGAAGTCTGGTACAGATTTCGTTAACGGCATGGGTAATAAATGTAACCCCACGGATAGCCGGCCAGGTAAACTTTCACAAAGTCTTACCTCCCGGGGTCTTATCAGCTGCATTTTATCGCTTGCTACTGGATTGGACGGCATCTGCCAGGATAATTTGGGGCTTGCGTACGTTCCAGATGTCCCTTAGTGTGTGCCCATAGCACAGCCAAGAAATCGCCTTTTAACTGTCGGCCGATTCGGCCTACCTTGCCGTTTGAGACAACCAACGAGAGATGTATTCAATCAACGTCGAGCCTCGCCGCTAACGGATGAGTTCCGAGTGTCCCCGCAACCCTTGTCGTGATATCTGGGCGCGTGGCGCCGAGTTCGTGGACATGTCTGTTAGATCCATCTTTATTCTACCGTCTGGTCTCGACCTTTGCTGGAGACTGGCCTGCATATAGATCCGAGGCATCGGCGCCATCAACACTTCGGACATGTCCAGTTAAGGATGCCTGCATGGGGGCTGAGCTGGCTGAGCATGTGTGCCTCTTCAGATCAAGTTAGTACATGTACTGTGATCCGCTTGGCAGAGGTACAGGTGGAGAGCTTGAGAGGGGGATTAGGGCTCAATGTTCCATGTCATCATCACCTATGTGGCCTGTCGAAAGTCAGCATATGTTCGCATGAGGGCGAACTATCTCATCACCCAGTCCCCACCTCTTACGCCAAGTCTGTATACGAAAAATGCAGGGTCTAACGGAAGTAAGAGCAGTGTAACCCTTTTCCTGTCAGCTCTCAGTGTGGCGATACTTTTTGCGGCGCGTGGTCAACGATGGCCAGTGACGGCACACGCCGATTTCCCTCCCATCCAGACATTAAGCAACATATACGACACAAAAAAGGTACACTCGTGTTTTACGAATGTTATACGTCTACAGTTCTCCAGTTAACGGCTT